GCCCATCAGCTCCTCCACCCCCTTGGCATTAGTTCCAAACCTTCGCCTTCCTCACCCCCAGAGCGAACCAGCCAGCAGGGGCTCTGCTGGGCTCCACCTGCCTCCTCACCAGCAGTGTGACCTTGAGCGGGTGACTTGACCTCTCTAGCCTCAGGTCATTCCATTGTGAAATGGAGTCAGAGCACCTCCCTCCTGAGTGGTTATGGGGATCACATCAGTTAAGGTCCACGAAGCATTTAGCACACAGCCTGGCATGTGGCTGATGTCAGAGGGGGTGCAGGGGAGAGGACTGGGGAGATGACAGCAAGCCGCATTTCACCTCTGTACTGGGGAGTTGTTAGGTTTACGGGCTGCATCAGTTCGGTCCCCTTCCCTAGTGTGGTTTGGATGCTTCCCACGCACCCAAGGAAGCCAGCCCAGTTGCCTGGGAAGATACCTGGCCTGGGGATTCTGAGACTCAGGCTCTGCTACCAACATGCTGTGTGATGCTGGGCAACTCACTTGCCCTCTCTGAAGTAACTTCCTCATCTGCAGAGGCTTCTCATATCCTTGACCTCTTACAGAGTTGTCTTTCACACACCAAGCTTCACAGCTTGAGTCCCATTCCAGACTCTCACAGGGACTCAGCTCCAGCCCAGCCATGGCTCAGAAGCCTTGGGTACCCAGACCAGGCCACTGACTGATAAACGCAGGTGAGGGTACTGCCCTTCACCTCTGGCCTGTCTGGCAAAGGAATTTACATTCTTTTGAAACCCATCACATAAACAGGTTTCTTGATAAGAAAACATTTATTGAATGACAGTAACCAAAAGAATTCAGGGTACTGGGCAAAATGGGGGTTTTTGCTTCATTCAGATCAAAATCTGATCCCAGCTTGGCCTCTTCTCACTGTGTGACCTTGGGCAAATCTCTTCACTTCTCTGAACTTTGCTTTTCCCATACATTAAATGAGGATGACAATTCATGTGCCATGAAATGGTGGCAAGGCTTAAGTGAGACAGTCCACGTAAATGCTTAGCACCTGGCACATAGTAGGTATTCAACACATGGCAGCTATGATTGGTTGGTATTTTTATCACCAGCCTCCCATTGTAAGGAGGAGGACCTGAGGCCATCAGCCATGTCTGGTGCCTATTTCCAAAGAGCTTTGACAACACACAGACACATATTCCTCGCAATCCTCCCGCCCGTGTACCTTCCAGCTGGTGCAGAGTGGACAGCGGCTGTCTGGTCTCCCCGTGGCCAGGCAGAGAGTGAGCTCACTGGGGGAGGCTCTGCCGCCATCCCTGGACTGGTCCCGCAGCATCCATGCCTCCAGCCTTTGTTGGGCAGCTGCAGCGTGAGCCGCACTGTCTGCCCGTGAAATGCGACTTTTGGAAAACATGCATATTTGTGAGTTGGTGCATGTTTCTATTTTGGGCCGACACTGCTCTCTTTATTTATTTTCCCCGGGCTTCGATGCTTTGGAATTAGCTTGGAAGGGTGTTTTGACAGACTTTGACACCTCTCCCAGCTCCTTTGGCAAGACACCATGCTTGGGTAGGGGGAGGGCAGGCAGAGAAGAAGAGGATTTCAAACGACAAGCCTTCTTCCTTGGCTAGGACTGATGGACAATCCCACACCCCTGCCTCACTGTCCCAGCCCTCTGTTTCTCCATATTTGGGTGTGGGGAGGAGTATAAGAGGGGTTCAGGTGGGGAAACAATTTCAAAGAGGGGGAAGGGAACCAAAAAGGCTAATCACTGAGCTCCCGATTTGAACAATGCTAACGTCATTATCAACACCTATAGTATTGTTATTGTCAACTATCACTACTACCACCCCCACCATTTTGGGGTGCCTACTTTTATTGCTGGCAGTGGGCTGACTGATGGCCCTTAGGGACACCACCTCCTTGCTCACCATCTCACTTGGCTCATCTGTGAAGGCTATTTTTGCCATCCCCAGCTCATGGGGCTATGAAAAGAGGCTGCTCGGTCACATGGTGGTCATAGCTGTCTTTCCTCTTGGCATCAGGGCCTGGCCAGCAACCAACTGCCCATGGGCAGTCTACTTGATTGGGTCCAAGGACATGAGGCTGATTGCAAAGCCCCTACTCACTGGTCAGGACCTCTAAAGCTGCTCTCAGCTGTTCCCTTCTCCGTGGCCATTTACAACCAGCCCAGTGTCTGCCACTTGGGAGGAAGGACCTTAACTCAGACAATTCCATCCGCCTTTGATGACTAGGGGAATAGGGGGTGGGGAGGATGGGGAGACGAGGGAAGTAGGTCTATACTAGCAGAGAAAGGGGCTTAAATCATCCAAGGACCTGGGGATCAGGAGATCCAGGTTTAAATCTTCTATTCATTCATTTGTTCATCCACTCATTCATTCACCATACATTACCAGCAGAACCGGTGGCTTATGCAGAGGATATATAGACAGTAGAAGTAATGCCTGTCCCAATGAAGATTGCATTTCAGCAGTATGACCTCAGCAGAATTACTTGACATCTATGGTCCCATTAAGGAAATCATCTAAACTTCCCTCACTCAGGGAACAGGATGACTTCACTAGTGGTGGGTGCTCTAAGGAAGGGGAAAGGTAGGATAATCTTTGGGGTTAGAATCACAATTTTCAATCCCATCCACACTCAAGAGACTCACTAGAGAATCAATGTTCCAGATTATTAGGGCCAAAAAGTGACCCTACAGGTCACCTCAGCCAGTCCTTTAACAGACGGGAAGCCTGAAGCCCAGAGACGGGAAGTAGTTTGCCCAAGGGCAAACTGGGAGTCTGTGGTTAAGCTTGGACTAGGATCCAGGTCCCTCACTTCCAGTCCAGTGCTCCTTCCACCACACCATACTGGGACTGTTCTTCTTTCAACCCAGTTTCTGGAGTTGAAGGACAACAACAAGAGAGGTGTCAAAGGGCAAGCCAGGTCACGGCTACCAGATCTCATGGCTAGCCAAATCTCCAGGGGGGGGTTCCAGAATGCTTCACCCAGAGTTCTTAGCCCCTTGGAGAGATCACTGGGGCTCTGTGGCATCTGGCCCTGGAAAACTTCCTGGGGAGGGGAACAGAAGCTGCTGAGGCCACGGTGGAGGGCCATCAGATTTCCAAAGAGAGAGAAACAGGGACATGGAACCTGCAGTGAAGAAGGCAAGTCTGAGAGAATGGAGTCAGATCCCCCTAAGGGTCAGCTGGGCCCACATCCCAGCAAAGACTGGGTCCGGCCCAGCCTAAGGAAAGTTGGGGAGAGAAGCGAAGGCAGTGGGGAAGGATGACTGGAAAGACCAAAAAAAGAGGGTGAGTGTGTGTGTGCGTGAGAGAGAGAGAGAGAGAGAGAGAGAGAGAGAGAGAGAGAGAGATAAACCTGAGGGAGGGAACAGAGCAGGGAAACAGAGGGTACAAACAAAGAATGCAGACCCTGATTGTACATCTGTGTGTCTGGACTAAGGTTAGAGGAAGAGGAGTGAGTATTGGGGTAGAAAAGCCAAGCAAAATGGACCGTGGGCTGAAAATGGAGATTCTGTAAGGCACCTGTCCGGGCTGGGCTTCTGCCCGGAGCTTCCACGGAGCCACAGCCTCCTCCCTCCCTCCAGAAGATCCCCTGGTTCCTTGGGAGGTGTAGTAGGAGGTGGGGAGCGGGTGTTTGCTCTAAATCCCCATGCTTCGCCCCTAGGAGCAGGACAGTGTGTGTGTGTGTGTGCATGCGCGCGCGCGCTGGGGGTGGGAGCGTGTCTGTGCTTGGGAGCCTGAGCGGCTTTGTGAGTCACTGGGCATCGGTGGGAACACCAGGTGGTGGGCTCTGGAATCTGGGGCTTAGTCAGTGAGTCCGGAGACAGCAGCCTCGAGTGCGGAGCGGGGGCGAAGATGCTGCCCAGGTCCATGAACGTGTGTGCTTGTGAGATCTGTCTGCCCACGTGCGTGTGAACCGTGGGTCTGTGTGGATTGTGTGCGCCTGAAGATTGTGGGTGGGTGTGTACTTGCGCAAGTGGACTACGAATATGTGTGTGGACTGTTTTCCAGTGGTCTGTAGATATGGGTGTGAGTGTGCGTGTGGACTGTGGGTGTGGGCGGGCTTCTGAGTTTCCAGGGCGGCCGCGAGGCGCTGTCCGCGGTGCTGACCCGGGGCGTGGGCCGACAGAGACCGGCGCCCAGTCTCGCAGTGGGTGGGGGACAGCGGGAAGCTGGTGCCGGCCGTGGAGCAGAGAGGGGCCGAGAAGAGGAAGCCCCCAAGGAGGCGCCTTCCCAGCCCAGCTGCCGGCCTCCCCAGGGAGTTGGGAAAAGTTCTTCCGGCGGTGGGGTTGGCTCCCGGGACGCGGCGCCCCTTTCGCTGGGACTCTTCCCTGACCCTCAGCGCCGCCACTGCCCGGCTGCCCACTCCACCTCCACCCTCGTTCGCGCTCTCGGCAGAGCCCGGGGACCCTCACGCGTGCTAATTCCATCGCCGGCCCCGCCCGCCCCAAGCCCCCACGCGCCCTCCCCGGCCGCACCTGCAGCCAGCTTAACCGGGAAAATGTCCCTCCTTGAGAGCACGAGTACGCTAGGTAGGGGATGAGTGGAGGGGGTCATTAGCCTTACTCTGTCCCCTCCTTCCGCTCTAGCACGGCCGAGAGCCCGATCCAGGGGCGGCTTCAGACTGACGCTCAACTTTTATGGACCCAGATATCCCCCAGCGGAGACGAGCAGGGGCCACAGGTCGGAAGGCTTGCCGTTCCTGGACATCCAACATCCAACTCGCCTTGGCCGACCGAGACTGCTGCAGTCCCGCGGGCAGATGGTGCGGAGCTGGGGCCGGGTCGCGGAGGGCAAACTTGGGTTCTGTCCACCCCTGACTGGCTTTCCCAGGGGGCTCCGAGGCCCGCATCCCGGGCTGGCTGGAGAGCGGGAGAACTTCGCGCGCGGCGCCACGCAGGTCCGGATGCGGACGGCGAGGAGGACTTCCCCCTCCTCCTAGCAATGCATCCCCCAGCCCCGAGACCGAGTCCGGATGGCGCCCCGCGGCCGTGCACTCACCTCGGCCGGCCGAATGGGGCTGGGCTGAGCGGCCGGCGCCGGGGGGCAGTGCGCGGAGGGTCGGGAGGCGGCGGCCACCCCGCTGCGCAGACTCGTCTCCTCGCGGGAGTCGCAAGGGGAAGCTCCTCGGAGCCGCAAGAAGCCGGGTTTCCACGCTCTGCCCCAGGGCAAGCAGACCGCGGGAAGCGGCGCGCGAATCCCAGTCACCAGCTCGCAACCCGAGCACTCCGCGCCGCCGTCGCCTTTTATTCGCCGCCCGCCTTTGTTTGGGTCCGGGCTCCTACCATAGGTCGCAGGGGTGTCCGAGTCAGGCTCCGGAGCCGCGCCGCCGCCCAGCCCCTGGCGCCTCCTCGGGCTTCGCGCTGTCGCACCTTGCGTCCGTGGTCGGCGAGAACCTGCGCCACGCCGCGAGCTGCGGTCTCTGGGGCCAGCTGTCTGGTCCTGTCTTCGCCGCCGCTCCCCCTGCCGATCCGCGCGGTGGTTCAGCCCGGCCCTGGCGCCCGCGGACGGGGGAACGAACGCGGCGCAGCGACCCCTGGGGGTCAGTCCCAGCCCCTGCAGACTGCCCGGGCCAGGCCCCCTCCAGCCCCGCCCCCGGGTTTCCTGATTCCCAATCTCTCCCGGGCCTGCGCTCCCTCCCGCTCCTCTCCAGCCAGCCCGCCCAGCCTTGGCAGGTCACCAGCCTCCTGGACACTCGCGGGCATCCCCGGGCGCCCTCCGGAGGGAGCTGCCAAGCCCAGGCTCCTGGCGCTGTCCCTTCCTCGTTTGTTCTTCAGTTACCCCTCTGGCACCAGAACACGGAGCCTTGCCAGCCCCTGGGACTGGGCATCCCTCCAGCTCTAGCACATGGCCTGCCTGACACCCCTAGCCAAAGGGCCACAAGGAGAAATGAGCTTGGGGTGGGGTGGGGGGGGGGCAAGCCAGTGCCTTGGCCCATTTCTCTTCATCAGGGCTCAGAGAGCATTGGCATTGGTGTTGCCCAGGGAGAATGATGGGGGCCCCCTCAAAAGGGGGACAGCTGCCAGCCCCCAGCTGCAGGGTGGAGGGATGTCAGTGATGGAAACCAAAAAGGAGGGAGGCCATTGCCATGCTGTGTGAGGGTGAGCCATGAGCTTGTCATTTGTCCTGGGTGTGTGCTGACCAAGGACCCGGAAAGATAGGGCGATGGTGAGACACAATCCTTGCCTTCAGGAGATTTCCAGCTTATGGGAGAGAGAAGAATATGGGAGAGTTATGAATGAAACATGACAAGCCCCACCAGCCAACACACTGATGCTGAACTCACGGCAGCCCCTCTCCACCCCCCAGCCCTTATTTTTAAAAGAGGAAAACTGAGTGGGACGCACCTCTAAAAATCAGGGTGCTGAATGGAGCTCCTGTGCTGCTCACCTGCTGCTCTTGCTCTGTCTCTCCGCTGTACAGTCCCTGGAAGCAGTACCCACTGACTGGCTGTCAACTGGACACATTGGTATTTATGACCCTGGGTACCCTGAGAGCTCATCTATGCAGAAGCAAATGGCCCGAGCCAGTGGTGTCCCTGCCCTGGCACTCACTCCCCGTGTGCTCAAGGTCTCAAGAGAGCCATTGCCAGGCTGGGCAAGTCTGTCAGAAGACTCCCAATGGCTCCATCTGGCCTTAAAGACATTAGGGTTGGGGGCAGTTCCTGGGGTGAAAGGTGCCACTCTGAGCTGTGAGGAGAGAAAGAGACAGGAGATCTCTCCCAAGAAGTAGAGGGTATGCAAATTGCTGTCCCAGGACCAGAGGCCAAATCTGACATGAGTACAGAGGACCATACTTGGCACCGCCCTGCAAACTTCTAGTCCCATTTGCCGTATCCTAGAGGGAGGGCAGAGAATGAGGAGCCATGGGAGAGGGTGGGAGGAAGGAGAACAAAGAAAAGATTTGTTTTTAAGGGAGCAATAGAGAGACATAAAGTGTGTTCCCAAGCCCAGCTGAGAGCAAAGGGTTTTCTTGGCTGGGTGAATGGCTTGATTCTTTTCAGTTTGCTTTAAGGCTGCTTCTAGGAGCCTCCTCAAAGTTCTCCAAGGCTCCAGACCTGTTCCTCTCAGTTTGACAAATCCATAGGCCATCCCATTGGTGTGCCCTATGGTGCTGTGTCGCCCTCAGCCCATGCCTGGGAATACAGCTCCCACTCCCCTGGGAAATAGATTTAGTGGGTTTGATATAGGTTCTTGATGAAATTCTCACCACCTTCAAAGGGGTTTTGCTTCATGCTGCCTAGCTGGCCACAGCCTCCTCACAACCCTCCCTGGCCTCTTGAGACCTCCAGAGGATCTCCAGTGGGGCTGGGCTTGCTCTGCCCTTGGTGGGGGATTTTCTGTGAAGGTAGGGTGCAGAGGCAGAGGCCCCTGGAGGCGGAGAGGAGGTGCAGAGTGTGGTATCCAGGAACACTGGAAGGATGCAATTTTCCCAGGCCATCAGCGAGGTTTTAAAAATGCAAATGGAACCAGGCCTTTGAAATATGCCTGCCATAAAGGGGAACCGGTGGTGGCAGCGGAGCTGGTGCGGGTGTGTAAAGTCATGAGAATCCTCCTCCCGGGGTTCATCCCCAGGCTCCCTCCCCTTCTCCTGCCCACTCCCGCTTGCAGGAAGCCTGTTTACTACAGGAGCCTGGGGATGCTGGCCTCAGATATCCCCCCTGCCCAGTCACAGGGTACTTCCCTGAAGCCTCCGGTACCTCCAGGTGAGTAACAAAGATGACTCTGGTGGATAAATGATCCACCCAGCTGAAAGGCTGCAGAGAATAAGATTCTGTGTCCCCTCTGGCTCCTTGTTCCAGTGCTGTCTGGTGGAAGTTCTTCCTGGGTCTGATTTAAATGCCTCGTGGTGCCGATAAGCTGCCTCTCTTATACTCTGTCTTCACGACTAATTGAAAAGCCTTCTTTGCAAGGGATATGAGCTATAAAGGGCTGCTTTGTCCTCTCTTCCTATCCCTTTATTTCTACTTCTATTTTTTCTCCGACTAGGTCTGAAGCAGAGCCTCTGAGCTGAACTTCTGATTCTACCCCTCCCAGTAAAGCCATATTTCTGTTCTGCCCCTTATGTGTTGCGTGACCTTGGGAAAGTCACTTCACTTTGTTGAGCCTCAGTTGTCTCATCTATAAAGTGGGGATGGTAAGAGTATCTGTCTCATTGCAGCGGTTATAGTTATAAATGAGATCATCTCTGTGCAAAAATTGCATTTAGCACAGTTTGTGGCACACATTAAGCACTAAATACACATTAGCAGTTCCTTCATCATGTTGTTAACGCTTACTTGGCAAGTGCTGACCATAATACATCTCACTTTTTGTGACACCCCTTCACCCCGCCCCGTGAAGGGGGGTTGTATGCAAATCAAGTCCTCCCACCAGATGGGTTAACAGCTGAGGGTTGAGCATATGGGGAGGGTTGGGAGTGTTTATCTTTTAAAATATGGCATTAAGACACTGTCCCGGCACCAGGGAATAGAATAAATGGATTTATAAGTAATCCCCTCTTCAATCTGCTAAGACATTTTTGGTGCTCTTGGCCCCCAGCCCCAATCTCACCTTCTCCAGGAAGCCATTGGGCAGAGTCAGGTAGGCTGGGGTACACTGGAAAGAGCTCTAGATTTAGAAAACTGGGTTTGATTTTTATGTGTGTCTTTTATTAGTATGACCTTGGGCAAGTCACTGCATTTCTCTGGGACTTAGTTTCCTCATCTGCAAAGTGGAAGTCATAATGACCACTGCCAATAATATTCCTGCTTAATAGTCTCTTCAGCTAAAGTAGAACACATATTTATAGGTAGCCATTTGATAATTAGTTCTAGATATAGTTATAGCTATATATAGGAAGAGATAATAGGATGATCAATCCCTGTTTCCATGATTTTCAGGGTTGATTGCACTTCATGTGACATAATAGACATAAAAGAGCTCAAGGAGCTTGCCCAAGTTCCTGGTGAATGAATTTCTGACTCCAAGTCACATAGAAACTTAGTGGAAGAGCTTGGGTTGGACTCCAGTTCTCCCAGCTTCCAGAAACACCAACCTTCCTCTCCCCAGCCCCTTCCTCCCTGAAGCTCTGTTCAGGAGGTGAGTGTGAGCTTATGGATGAGGGAAACATTAGAGGGTCTCATAATTAAAGAGAAGAGAGAAAGAGAGCTCTGAAGAAGGGCCTGAGGAAGTCTGACAGGGCTAGGCTTAGGGCAGGGGTACTGCAGATAGGGCCTGGAGGAGGCTGGACAGATGGCAGCTCTCTCCTCCTGCCTCCCCCAGAATTCTGCAAGCAGCCAGACCTAGCACTCCTTTCTCAGCCTTTCCTGCCTCCTCCAAGGGAGCAGGCATCCTGTGCCAGAGTGAGTACAATCCAAGTTATTAATTGCCTGCAACAATTAGCCCCAGCGCCTGGGCCTGCAGACACCCAGGCTCTGAGAGAGGGAGCCAATTACAGCTGCATCAATATTCACGCTGTCGCATAATCCTCTTCCAACAAGACGGCCCCCCGTCCCCCATCCACATTTCTAAGGGTCTTTGCTCTGACCCCAACATCTGGAGAAGACTAAATATTGCTGAGTTCTTCAAGAGGAAAAGTCACTGGAGGGGTTAGACCTGAGGGGCTATTTGCGTAGCAGAGCCAAGGCATTGGCAGGGAAGAGCAGGATCCTGCCAAAGATCTGGACAGTGTGGCATTAGCCAAAGACAGTCCCATTGTTGGGGGAGAGATTATAACTTCCAGGTTGAGGGTTTTACATAGATACCCTGAGGGCTCTTACTGATGGAACTGGCTTGAAAGGAGGAGGTCATAAATACCCAAAAAGTTATAATTTTAATCCCAGCTCAGCCACATACTAGCTTTGTGGTTTCTGGAGAAGCCCTTTGCATCTCTGAGCTCATATCCTGACCTGTAAACTGGGGGCAGTGGCCACCCCTTCCCAGGGAGAAGGATTAAGGGACGTGCTCTGCAGAAGCACACAGCAGTACAGTGAATGGTACAGAGTGGGCTGGAAATAAATGGCTGTGCTTGTGTTCTATCCAGAAAAAGCTCCAGAAGATCTTATGACCCCTAGAGAAGTGTAGGGTGATGGGGAACAAGGCAGATGGGCAGTTAGGAGACCAGAATGCTGACCCTAGATTTGCTCTAACATGCTCTGTGGCCTTGGTGCCCTTCCATCTTCGACTTCTTGTTTCTATTTGACAGATAAGTACATGAGCTAGATGTGCTCCAGGG